AGCAGTCTACCATTACTTGGTATCGCCTTGCCTTCCTCTCCATTAGAAGGTTCTATACCTATGCCATTTATTCCCTCTTTTATTGTTTTGATGTTGTTGTAATTTACTGATTAACTGCTCTGATTCCCTGTTGTACTTCTTTTGGTTTTGGATAGTCCTCAAGAGGTCATTTCCTAGATTGGTATCTGGCTTGTACGATCCTGCGTCCTAGATTCTGCCTGTGAGCTGAAGTTGTTGGTCCTCAGATTGAGGAACTCCCTTTAATAATTCTTGTAATTGACTTTTACATATCCCCTTAATTTCTGTTTATTTTGAAATGACCTAATTTCACCATCAAATCTGAACGACAGTTTTGCAGGATATATTATTCTTGGCTGGCAAATTTTTTCCTTCAAGATTTTATATATGTCATCCCATTGCCTTCTTGCCTGCATGGTTTCTGCCAAATAATCTGAGCTTAGTCTTATTGTTTCTCCTCTTTATGTGACTTTTTGTTTTTCTCAAGCTGGTCTCAGGATTATTTGTCTTTGGTTTTAGGGAGTGTGATTACGATATGCCTTGGTGATTTTATCTTGATGTCTATCCTATGTGGGGTTCATTGAGCTCCTTGGATGGTTAACTTTTCATCTTTCATGATATTGGGGAAGTTTTCTGTCAGCAATTCTTCAGTGATCCTCTCTGTGTTTTCTGTTTTCTCCCCGTTCTGGAATTCCAATCACTTGAAAATTTTTGCTTTTGATTGTATCCCACATAACTCTCAGGGTGTCTTCATTTTTCTTTGTTCTTTTTCCTGAGTTTTCCTCAGAGTTGTATCCACGTTTTTGTCCTCAATTCCACTGATCCTGTCTTCCACTATTTCAAATCTGCTTCTCAGCCCTTCTATGACACCGTCCATTTCTGAAATCTTGTTGTTTATCTTTTGGATTTCTAATTCTTGTCTTTGTATAATTTCTAGTTGTGAATTTATTTTCCCATTTTGTTCCTGCATTATTTTCCTGAATTCTTCCAATTTTTTGTCTTTTGCATGAATTTTGCATGAATTTGTCTATTTTTCCTCATGTTTGTCAGCTTTTTGCCTCAGCTCTTGGATAATTCTGAGTATTAGAAATTGGAATTCCCTATCAGGTAGTTCTAGTGCATTTTCTTCCACTGGAGAGTCATCTGGTGTTTTATTTTGGACGCCTACTGGAACCATCCTGTCCCGTTTTTGTAAATGTTTTGATATTGTCTGCTGTCTTTGGGGCATTCAGTAGTTATTTTTCTTGTTTATTGATTGTAGATTTGTTTGTTTCTCCCTACCCCCTTTTTTTTTTTAATTTGACAATGTCTGAGCAGGCAGACTGTGTGTTCTTTGTTGTTTGCTCGTCTGTGGGCACAATATTTTTCACCTCCTTCTCCAATTGGCAGGGTCGCTCACTCAGATATGGTATGGCAGGGCAGGTCTAGCTGAAGAGGAGTTACTGGGACAGGTTATTTGTGGCACTTACTACAGCCACCAGGGAAGGTCGGTAACCAGTGCAGGGCAGGTTCCAGTAGGCCGTGCCTGTGCTGCTCGGTGGTGTGATGTTAAGTGCACTGTGCAGGTAGCAGGATGTAGTGGGGAGATTTTTATGTGTGGTGCTAAGATGGATATGGGAGAGAGAAGAGAGGAACAGGAGCCAAAAACATACAAAGATACAAAAAAGAATGGTAGGGGAGCTTGCCGTTGGAGTGGAGAGATGAGAGACTATGAAATGGAGAAAAACAGAAAGGGGAAGAGAAAGAAAAGAAAAGAATGAATAAATAAAAATCAGAAAGGTTAAAGAACCACAAAATTCCCAGGGATCCCACCAGTGCAGCTATGAGGTCTGGGGAAGTTGCTCTCAGGTGTTGCAGTATAGCCTGGCTAGA